AGGCAAGCAGCAACGCTACAAGACGGCCTGGGAAATGAGCTCAGTATGGCACAACAACGAATAGATCCTCAGCATGCAAACAGCAGAACATGACAAAACACAAATCACCGTATATGTTGCTGAAGCCCCGAAAGACCAATTCACAGAGAAATATACAGCCGAATGGCAGCAGTGGGGCGGACAAAAGGGAACCACACGAAAGGCAGACGGCTACAAGCCACAAGACTTTTTCACCATTCACATAGAAGGCACTCACCACGCAGACCGCAGCAGCCCTTGACACACAGTACGCCACACTGCAGCACCAGCGGAAGCAAACCCACACCAAAGATAAGGACGATGAGATGGATGGAGGAATTCCTGACCTGAGAGGGCAGCGCAAAGGTGAGGGCAAGCATGTGGCGCAGGGGCGCCAATAGGACGCAGCTAACCACCACCCCATACAGCATCAATTTCGGCCACACCAACTCTTAACGACCATTTTTGATTGGGATAACAAATCTCGCCGCACAGTAGGCGAGCCGGGCGAACCGCGGGGCGCTGACCCTATGACCATTCCTACGGACCATTTCTTGACAGCACACACTAATGACAAAACGTGACACATCCCCAAAAGGCCCCAGCGGCAACAGAGAGAGCAAAACTGGTCCAGTAAAAAGCGAGGTTTCAGGTCCGAAGCCGCCCGTTTACAACGACAATACAACCGGCAACAAAAACGCAACGAACAAAGACGCATCTATCGGGGGTGTAAATCTAACATGCTATGCGGAGCAGGGGACAATGGGGGAGGTGGGTTGGGCGCCTGCCTCCCAGGTCTTACACGCAAGACTGAAACCTTTCCGCCCTTGAAAGACGCGCGTCTAGCTTTACACACACGCGCCTCTACGAGGAGCACCGCAACCTCAACAAAGCCAGTGGAACACAAGTATCATTAACATATTGTGGTTTCAAAATCAAAAACGTCACCTTCAACGTCCGCTTCCTTTTGAAAGTAACTATGCACAGACAAATTACTGATCATATGCGCAGGCACGACATTCACATCTTGTGCATGCAAGAGACGAGATCCAAGAACACAACGCTGACAATTTTACCTTCCTGACTGTCAGCACTGTGAATACCAGTCAACCAGAGTATGCAGGAGTAGGCTTCGTGTTGTCCCCAATGGCCCCGAATGCCCTTGTGCGTACTTCTTTCATTAACAGCCGAATTGCCTGCATCTCACTGCTTATACAAGGAGGAGAATTAAAACATCGTATACATACATATGTACCACAGAATGCCCGACCAGAGGATGAACGTCGAGATCATATTGAAAAATTACAACAGGCTATTTCCCAAATTGCTCGCAAAGGACCTTTTGTTGTGTTGGGGGACTTCAATTCGCGACTTCAAGGGAGATTGCATGGCGAAGAGGATGTTTTGGGACCACGCATGTTTGGGATGGACAGCTGTGGGGGAAGAGACCGATAATAGATTCCTACTTTTGGATTTTTGTCGCGCAAACGATCTGATTGTGGCCAACACATGGTTGCAATAACCAGCAGCTAAACAGGTAACCAATAAAGAACCCAGTGCGCATTTTCTGCCTCCAGATAATACCGATTGGGATCCCGCTGACTTTGCGCAACTGGACTTTTGCCTTTGACCTCAGCGTTGGTGGAATTTTTGTAAGGTCAGCAAGAGCAAATTTGGACTCCCATTTTCCCGTTGTTTGGTGCTTGCAAGTTAAACTCGGAGCTAAACCAAAGGCGGCGCACCGCCCACGTTGGGACTTCCAACAACTTCCAACAGGCAACGGAAGCCCAAATAGATGCAATGAACGACACAATCACTACTAATTACAATGCTCGAATCGGATATACCTTACCAGGACCCTACCGCTCGATGGGGCACCCTAAGTACTTTGTATGCCTAAGCCATAGACACCCACATACCAAAACAAACCCTTCAACCTAAACAACCGTGGATCACACAAACTACACTGAATCTCCTGGAGAGAAGGGGGCAACACCAGCAACATGGCGACCTAGCGCAAGTAGCTGAACTCAACAAGACAATCAGAAAGGCAACAAAACTTGACAAACGCAAATGGCTAGAAGAGCAGCTTAGCACCGGTGACTGGAGACCCATCACCAATCTGAAGAAGCCGTTCCCGCACAAGGCGCTCACGCTAACGGACACAACCGGGCCGGGACCGCCCAGTAACGCGGAAATTTTCGCCACTCACCTAGCCACCAAACAATGGCAGGAAGCAGGACAACCGCAAGGACTAGACACCACACCTATTTATCAGAATCCTCCGACCATTTCTGAAGCGACCATTTCTATCGCAGAAGTAAGGCAGTGAAACAATCAAAAGCAGCCAAACAAGCTGGTAAAGACAATATCTCAAATGATTTCTGGAAACGACTAGAGGGACTGGGCTTGGACGCGTTGGTTTCATTGTTTCAATTGTGTTGGGGCTCCCGAATTCTCCATAGCAATGGAAACTTTCCCCAGGTGGTAGGTATTTTTCAAAAGGGTTCTGCACTGTGTTTTTTCGTGGTTTTGTGGCTCCGGAGGGTTGAAAAGTAGGCTCGCTAAAGCGGCGGGTGCGGAGACATCTGGGGAGATGAGAGATGAAAAGTTGCACGCCGTTGTGGCGCGAAGCCGATTTCAAAGTGAAAAGGTACAAAACACCTCAGGATCGGACCACTTTTGGAAGTTGAGATGTTGAAAAAGTGCACGGCGTTGTGGCGTGAAGCACATTTGGAAGTAAAATGTGTTAAAAGCTGAGGGGTTCGGAGCAGTTTTGGAAGTTGCGATGTCGAAAAAGTGCACGCCGTTGTGGCGCGAAGCACATTTTCAAGTCAAAATGTACAAAACACACCATGGTCGGACCACTTTTGGAAGTTGCGATGTCGAAAAAGTGCACGCCGTTGTGGCGCGAAGCACATGTCGAAGTCAAAATGTACAAAAAACACCATTCTCGGACCACTTTTGGAAATTGAGATGTCGAAAAAGTGCACGCCGTTGTGGCGCGAAACACATATCGAAGTCAAAATGTTAAAAACACCAGGGGTTCGGACCACTTTTGGAGGTTCAGATGTCGTTTCGCTTCACTACACTACACTCCACTACACTACACTCCACTCCACTACACTACATTACACAACACTACAACAACAACTACACAACTACACTCCACTACACTCCACTACACTCCACTACACTCCACTACACTCCACTACACTACACTACATTACACTACACTACACGACCTTCCAGTACACTTCACAACATTACACTACACTACACTCCACTACATGACAACTACAACTACAACTACAACTACACAACTACACTCCACTACAATACACTCCACTACACTCCACTACGCTAAATTACGCTACACTACACTCCACTACACTCCACGACACTCCACTACACTACACTACACTACCTTGCACTACACTTCACTACATTACACTACACTACACTCCACTACAAATACAACTACGACTACGCAACTACACTCCAGTACACTACACTACATTACACTACACTACATTACACTACACTACACTACATTCCACTACACTCCACTACACTACACTCCACTACACTACACTACATTACACTGAATGACGCTGCACCACAGATAGACAGGAAGACAGATAGACAGACAGACAGATAGATAGATAGACAAACAGACAGATAGACAGATAGACAGATAGACAGATAGCCAGATAGACAGATAGACAGATAGACAGATAGACAGATTAAAGAGAGATAGAGAGAGAGAGAGAGAGATGGATAGATAGATAGATAGATAGATAGATAGGTAATTAGATGAAAGAGAGAGAGAGAGAGATAGATCGATAGATAGATAGATACATAGAAGATAGGTTGGTAGGTAGGTAGATAGTAAGAGAAAGAGAGAGAAAGAGAGGAGACCTCAAGCACCTTTCGGCCCATCAGTGGCTTCGCTCCGCCATCCCTGATTCGCAACAACCAATCTCTCCTATAGGTTTCCTATTTTTGAAACTTCCGCCACCGCCTTGTGCGGTACTACTGGTAAACTGTACGCTCGCATTATCGCTAACAGATTGGCAGCAGGGCTAGATGACCGGATTAGGGAGTTGCAATTTGGATTTAGGAAGGGACGGAGTCCATCTGAAGCAATATACCTAGTCAGACGGCCACAAGACTTAGTTGACGCCAAGAAATATCAAGTACTTTACCTTAAGTTGCTGGATTGGAGCAAAGCATTTGACAAGATTAGGCCACCTGCACTGCATCTTGCGTTGCAGCGACTCGGAGTGCCCAATCACATGTGCGCAGTGGTGAAAGAGTTGGTTAGCAACCCTCTTTTTGAAGTAATTCTGGATGACCAAATCTCTAACTGCAAGGAGCAGAAGAGCGGCATCCGCCAAGGATGCACATTAAGTCCGCTGCTACTCATTCTCCTTCAAATGGTGTTGTTCTACGATGTCCAAACTAAGTACCTTGCCAAGCACCCCTTGTCAGTTACCCCTCAAATCCCATTCTTCGACATAGAATTTGCTGATGATACAGTCTTAATCGCAAGGACGAGGGAACACATACAGGATCTTTTGTGGTACGTGCAGGATGAAGCTTCCAAATACAATTTGCATCCGAACATGGATACAGACCAATGACTTTCTGAAATGCACAAACTCACTCACAAACACCGCTACATGTGGATTAACATACGTAACTTCAGCCTAATCAAACGGACAGAAGCCACATACAGCGGTGCACTGGCCCATGAACAGAGTTATCAGATGCTCGCAGAAGATCATGCAATTATGTCCAATGTCAGTATAGCCGTACGCTTGTCGTGGAGCTTGCTTGTGGCTGCATTTACTTGTCAATGATAATCTTGTTATAATGGGTTGCAGCAAGTGCATTTGGTTTGCCCACATCAACAGGGCTGTCTGACTCTTGCACCTCTGAGTTCAATGCTCATGTTCTTTCTGTCCGCTGACTATTTTCTGACAGCAACGCGCCAACCAGGTACGCATACTGATATATTGACAATGTTATAAACAATAAGGAAACCAACGGATGCCACATCTGATTTCATCAGCGCGGATCATCCGATGGCAATGAAACAATAAAAATGACTTCTGGTGAAGACCATCGACCATCATTGCTGAAAGCATCTGAGTGGACGTCTGGTTTCAGAGGCCGACTCACACTTCCAGACTCACCACCCCCTGCCCGTCCGGCCAGTGTGGCAGGGTCACGGCAGGCTCCCCCTGCCCGTCCGGCCAGTGTGGCAGGGTCACGGCAGGCTCCGCCTTGGAAGCTTCCGGCGCTTTCGGTGCTTGAAGCCCCAACTTCTTCCGCACCTTGTATTGCAGAGGGCCATGCTGCCCAGCAGAGCCATAGACGATGCAGAGAAGCAAAGCACGACATTCTGCTAGGCAGATCAAAATTTGCAAGACTGGAAGCCAAAGGATGCGGCAAAGGATTGCTTTCAAACCAGACTGGTTCTCTTTGCCGGGCCATTGACTGACCATGCAGTTTTGCAAGGTGGCAAAGGTCACAGCCAGGACAAAGAAGCTGATGAAAGTTGGGGCTGCCACTGCCACCACACCGTTGGGCCCCTGCTCAACTCCTTCAATAGGCATTTTGACCAGGCCAAAACCCACTGTGAGCATCGACTGGAAGGTCATGATGGGTAGACCAATAGACACAAAATGCCTCACCAACAGCATTTTCAACGGGAAGATAAAGCAGTTCAGCGTTGAGGGGTCATGCAACAAGCTCCACGGAAGTATCAGGACCGTTCCAACGAAGAAGCGAGTCACCTGCGCCAGGGTTTCCCCAATGGCCTCATTGAGGCTGTTGCCCATGGGCGGTGCTTTCGCAACACAATGGTCCAAGGGTTGCACGATCAAATTCCGGTTGGTCCAAGCACACCCAATGGAGATGGCCACGTCTTCAGCCATGAGCGAGGGATGATGCATGCCAGCTCGGATGTACTGTTCCATGGGCATAGCATATTGTCCATAGACAAACAAGGAAAACAGTGGCTGCGTGATGACGCCGATGACAAAGAACTCGGTGATCTGTGCATACACGGAGCCAACGGCATATGCTCGCCTGTTGTTGATGGTATGGAGGACCGTTGGCTGCCACAGCACAGGTCTGCGATGGGCCTTCCAATCGACCATGCGATGCTCCAGCTCAGTGAGCAAACCTGGCTGCATCACCACTTGTGCGTCGATCTTCGCAAAAACCCAGTCGCTAACCTGTGGACTGCTCCCCTGTTGGGCTGAAACCTTTAGCAAAACCGTAAGAAACAAAGCAAGCAACAGCAACAGCCAATTTGGGTATGTTCAGCCATGTTCACCCAAAAATAGTAAAACATATGTTGTACGAAATAAAATATTATTCTTTACACTGGCTAATATTTATAACTTAAGAAATGTATAAGGTTAATAATTATTTTATATATTAAACTTATACATTATTTAATATAGTTATTTTAATCCAAAACTTCTAATCTATTTTTATCACCCTTATTCATTTCTAAATTCTTTTGATACTTCTTTGTTTTTATGTGGTCATAAAAGTATTTTTGGCTCATTGACTTATTACAAACAGAACAACTAACAACTTTGTTATCAAATAATTTTCTCTGTTCCTGTTTCCTAAGTCTATACTCTTTATCTTCTTGATATATTTTTCTTTGTTCCTCATTGTATCTATCTTTATGTTTTTCACGATGGGCTTTTCTATATTCATTACATTTTCTACAGCATAATTTACCTTCATCAAAATCATCTAAATATTTTCATTGATCACATTTACTACATTGTTTTTTATCAGTCATATATATATATAATATCTATAGCCAATAACCCTTTATATAAATACTTTTCCTAGAACTGTTATTCCTAGAAAAAATAATCAACATAGTTATATAATTGTTTATTATATTTTTTTATGGGGATAAAATCCTGAGTGGATGGATGCACCAAAATCCCGCAAGACCGGCTACAAAATTTGTAGGAGACATTACGACAAGAAAATCCCGTAAGACACACTACGGTAAATCCACCTACATAATTAAAACCTCAGCAAAAATAGCCATTTTTAAAGCCCTGTAAGTCCCACTACAAAATCCGTAAAACCCCCTACGAAATCCGTAGAAGCCATTACGGCAAAAAAAACCGTAGCCAGCCCTATTCAAAGTATCCCAGTATCCCAAACAGTATACTCAAAATATCTAAATATCCAGAAAAGGACACTCAAACTATCTAAATATCTAGTAAAGGATACTCAAAATATCCTGTCGTGGTTTGCTTCCAGAGGATACTGAGCCAAGCACCGATTTCAGTGCCAGTCAGAGCATTGAATGTGGCTACTTGTGCCCTTTGTGTATCTTTCGGCACCAAACCAATCAAAATTAATCCAATCCCACTATATAAATTAATGACTAAATATTATATGGAGTATCCGGTGATGCTGATGACTTTTGGGTTGGGTTGGGTTGGGGTTATTCAAAAACCATTTCAAAATTAGATGATGATGAGTGGCAAGGTGCAGTATCAATTTTCTGTGGCAGGTATGACTTGATTTGTCAAGTCCTAGCGCGTAGCGGTATTGCATCAAAGATTTCATTTATCAACCTTTCAGGAATTCTATACAACTCATCTTGAGAATGTTTGTTATTATCGCGTCCGCCTACTATTTTACTAGTTCCGCGTTGCGCTGTTTCTCTATCATATTTTCACAACCGCCTTTGCATAATGCACGTGGCTCCCATTCATCAAGATTATTCCATAACCTAGTCCGTTTCCTATAGTTAAATCCATACTTGCAGTAATCTACATCTTTAAACGGTTTCCCAATTATAAACGGTTGAATTTTCAGTAGTCTTGTTTGTGGATTTTCAAAAAACCATATCCTAGGATTGAAGTATTCTAAAATCTCAATGGTTTTCATTACTATAGCATTAGCTTCATCAATGTTTCTCACCCCGACCGTTTTAGCCCTAGAATATTCCGTGCAAGGAGGCGACGCGTGGATGAAATCAAAATATCCTACAGGATATATTTTATAACCCCAATCTCAAATATTGCAATCAATATCCGTATTTTTCAAGTCCAGACTTATAACATCAAACCCTTTCATGTTGGCTACTCTTCCGATACTACCGGTTCCGCTAAATAATTCTAATAAGTTCATTAATAATATTCTTTAGAATATTATTAACAAAATTATTTTGGCAAAAGATTTATAATATATTCACCTCGCTCATCTTTTACAATATGGTAGTATTCTAAAGTTTTTTGGACGGGGTTTTTAATACGACCGGTTTTAACCATTTCAAAAATAAGTTTTTTGCTTTTCCTACCAAGTACCTTTCGGCTTACCAATGCCTTTTTTTTCAAAAATATCCTCCATCTTTTTTCTGCTCTTCTTTATCTTCAACCTCTGTGTAATTTCATTCAGACTTGTCATTATTGAAGACAACATTTTACTATTATTTTTGGTGTGCTCGTAGATTTGGCTTAACAAATTGTAATCCACCTCCTGAGGGCTCATATATATTAAATTAGAAATTTTAAAATATTTATTTAATTATTTAATAATACATGCTTAAATAGTTATTCTAAATCATTGAGTGTGTTTTGTTTCTTTTTGTTACTTCGTGGTGTTTTCATTACATCGCTTATCATTTGATTTCTGTTTGCTTCGTCTTCAATTGGAGGAGTGGTAATTCTGTTAAAAGAGAAGCTAATACTATGGTCTTCCCTTTCTAATGTGATCCCTCCTTCATCATTTTTATTGACATCCATTGATTTACCATTTTTTGTAATTTTGAAACTACACGGATTACAACGGCAAATTATGCCTTTAGGGTTGATTTCAATTTCATTTCTTAACTGTAATTTACCATAACATAACGGACAATCAAATATAATGTTTTTACTTGTTAATTTTTGTTCTTTATTTAAACTAACCATTTTAGGTTCATCATCCGACAACTCAAAGTCGCGAAGCTCGCGAGCTCCTAGCGTCGCGTCTTCAGGGATTGGTTGCTTTTTCATTTTACTCACTATTCTTTTTGATGGCATTATTATATACTAGATAATTTACTTAAAAAATTGATAAGTTCAAGACACATTTTTAAGAAAATTTTAACTCTACCATCTTCAACTACTGGATAAGTTGTATTATCAGCAATCCTATTTTCAATCTCCTCTATTGTATCTATGTAGGTTTCATACTCGTTCATCCTGATTATATATAATTAGAAAATATCATCAATATACATTCTAATTATACTATATATACAGGACTTTTCTTAGCTAGACGCGAAGATTTATTCTTGGGGACGGTGAGGTAAAAAATGTCGGGGAGCAATCAAAAGAAAACAAGCAAAACGAATTCAACTTCTATTGCTTCACTTGTCAGCGCATTCTCAAAACTAATTAACGTCTTTGCGGGTTGAAAAAAGCAACTGTCCCATCGCTGAGCCATAAATTTATGCGAAGGTATCCTTTTATCAACAATATATATTATATAAATATTTTCGAAATATTAATAATAAAAAATTATTTCACCGAATGCAAAACCCATTGATGAAATACACTATACATTTCCTCAGTCAAAATATCCAAATGTTCCAGAAGTCCCATTTAGAGCAATTATAACCGCTTCGTCAGGTTCAGGAAAATCTGTCTTATTAACAAATATGATATTAGACATTTATAGAAATGTATTTAGTCGTGTCTTTATCTGGTCGCCTTCAATTGAAATTGATAGTATATGGTTGCCAGTGAAAAAATATATCAAACAACAAGTGAAAGTGGATACTGGCAAAGAAAAGTGTTGGTTTGAAGAATTCAATATAGAAGATTTAGAAAGGTGCTGGATACACAACATAGAATAACAGAATACAGTACAAAACATAAGATGAAAAAACTATATCCTATACTGCTGGTGTTAGATGATATAGCGGATGACCCACGTGTAGCAAGATACTCTAAACTTTTAAACTCAGTTTATGCAAGAGGTCGCCACAATGGGGTTTCTGAAATCACCACCGTTCAAAAGTTCAATGCTTTAAACACATTAATAAGAGTAAATGCCCCTCATCTTTTCTTTTATAAAATCAGGAATTTTCGCGAGATTGAACTACTACAAGATGAATTATCGACAGTTGTTAGAAAAAACAACATTCAAAAAGCAAAGAAGCTTATATCAAATATATATGAAATTGCTACTGCCGAACCACCTAATTCCCTCTACATAAATTTATTTACTAATGATATAAACAAAATGTTTATGAACAACTTTAATGCGTATTTACACATTGTAGATTGATAATATTGTCTCAGTATAATATTATCAATTCAGAATAAATTCCAACTGCAAAGTTGGATAGCTGGTAGTCTATACAATATTCTATCAGATTTTTTGTCTTCTATGTCCTTCAGTTTATTGGATATTTCTTTTATTGTTTTAATCTGTAGCCTATCTATATTACTGATGTCTAAATCTTCTTCGTTTATATTGCTGAATTCTTCTATACAGTCCTTTTTAACCGTAGATTGTTTATTTCCCATTATTTATTATTTTAGAAAAAATGTTTAAAGAAATGGTGATTAAAAGTGATATAGTGAAGAATGGAGAACAAATACAAGAGAGGAAAGATTTATAAAATAGTTGATGCTGGTTATAACAAATGCTATATAGGAAGCACTGCTGAAAAGACGTTGAGCAATAGGATGTCAAGACACAGGTATGACTATAAAATATACAAGCAAACTTTAAACGAGAAAATGACGTGTTTTGATATTTTTGATGAATATGGTATTGAAAATTGCAAAATTGAATTGATAGAGAACTACCCTTTTAATAATATAGAAGAGTTGCGTAAAAGATAATGTTTTTTTATTCAAACCGTCGAATGTGTAAATAGATGTGTTGCTGGTCGCACTAAAAATGAATGGAATTTTGACAATAAAGAATACTATAAAAAGAAAGCAATTGAAAACTATTACAAAAATAGGGAACAACGATTGAAACAACAGAAAGAACATAGAGAACTCAACAAAGAAACAGTCAATGCTCAAAAGAAAATATCCCACTTATGTGAATGTGGAGTTTCATATACAAATAATCATAAAGCAAGACATATGTAAACACAATGACAAAGACATCAAAATTACATACACTCATTACAAGATAAATAATACTAATTCAACTTAATATTATTTATCTATTCATTCTTTACTTTTTGATTTTGCTTTTGCCTGAGGTTTTGTTTTCATTAACTTTTCTACTGCTTCTTGTAATTCATAAACAGAACTTTCTAAATGCTCTATTTTTTGTTGTTGCTGTTTGACACATCCCCATAGAATGCCACTTAGTTTTACATAGTTTAACTTTTCAACATCGCCATCAAAAATGATGTTTTCAACATCTGTTGGTATATTTGCGTGGACTTCCTCTGCTACAAAACCTATATGATTTTTGATAATACCTTGTTTCTTTTCCTCATTCATTTTAACAAAGTTCGTTTTTATGTTCTTTACAATTGTTGTAAAGTCATATTTGGCGTCTTTAATGACATATTTTACCTTTTCCGAACTTGTATCGACCAACTCCCCACTTAACGTTTTACCAGCAACAACCGTTGTGTTCTGATGTAAATTTAGAACAATGCTTGACATATCAAGTATGGTGTTGCCACCACATAAAATTCTGCTTTGACCCGTTGTATCATTATTTACCAATGCTAACATTTCAACATTGCTCTCTAAAAAATTGTCTATATATACTTCTTTACCTCCTGCTTTATTAAAATACAACCTATTACGGTTCATAACGATAGGCGTTGACATTTGTAAATCTTCATCTGCTTTTTCTGTATCTCATATATTCTACTAAACCATCATCTGTTGTATTACTACCTTGAAAAACCATATCGGCACCAAAGTTTCTATTGAAAAAATAATCTCCATAAATATATTGAGACGACAACGCCCTACCTGTTGATACACCAATAATATTTTTAGTGCCATCTAATGTAAAGAAATTAACACCGCCCCTTTCGAATACTACATTAGTAGGAGTGGCACTATCAATTGCATCAAATTTAGCACTTTCAGCAAGTAATGATATCCCTGTATTCACCTCTACAT